AAGATGTTGATCGAACATCCAAAATGCGCTATTGAGGTCGTCTGCAAACTATTCGATCGGCGCTATGCCTGGACTACAAGTTATACTCTACAATTCAGTCCTAAAGCCAATCTGGACGTATGGCTTCCAGCTGTAGGGGAACGCGAGCAGCAGCAACATAGACATCATACAGCGTGCACAATCAAAAATCTTGAGAACTATCACTGAGGCACCTTGGTATGTTCGCAACGAAAACATTCACCGGGATCTGGGCATCCTCGCAGTGAAAGACGAATCCAGAAGCAAAATGAGTCATAGACTGTCTTGGCACCAAAATTTTCTCACTCGGGGATTGACTCGGGTTTCTAGCGTATCCCGCCTGCGACGCAGCGACCTCCCAACCCAGCAATAGATTTTTAGGACCGTCTAACTCTGTATCAGTCAATATGACTGTTAGTTAAGTTAATAATATCAGATTTGATACACCTCTTGTTAGTCTCGCAAAGAGAAGATTCAAGAAGTAAAAGCAACGTTTAAACAAAAAAAAATTATAATCTTTTAGTTAAGTAAAATGCATACAAATGAGATTTAAATAGAAAGTTAAAAAACGCACATATAATTATTGACTATAAATATAAAATATAATTTCGTTACTTTGCGAGTGTTTTGTGTTTTTTTGCGAAAAAAAGTGTTAGATTTCATTTTTAGTTTTGTATATCTTACATTGTTATAATAAAAAGCGTCCATACCCAAAATTATTCTGAAAAATCTTTATATTTTTTTAATTCAAAACAAGAAATAAAAGTTTGCTTCGGGCAAAGCCGAAGTTGATATACCCTTGCATGCGTACGTTTCGTCAAAAACCACGCCAGACGTCTTCTTCGCCAAAGCTGCGAGATCCTCATTCGGTCCACTAAACACCACCAACGGCTTCTCCTATGCCGATGCTCTACGATCTGGAAGGGAAATTCCAATTCAGCCTAACTCTCAAAGCGCTCAACAGGCCCCAGAACAGCCACACAGCAAAACGGAAACTATGATGCTTACCCTCCAACAAAGTATGATGGAGCTTATGTCATTCATGAAAACGACCATGCAAACGCTTGTTCAAAACCAGAACATGGTGATACAGCTGCTCGTAGCACAACAGTCCAAATAATCTATGCAGGCGCTACGAATATCAATGTGGAACGCCAATGGTGTCTCACGGCATAAACTAGAATTGTCACAATTCTTGACCGAAAACCATATTGACGTTATGCTACTGGTGGAAACGCATCTTACAAGCAAATACAACTTTCATATAAGAGGCTACACAATCTACCGCACAGATCATCCAGATGGGAAAGCCCACGGCGGAACTGGAGTTCTAATCAGAGAACGAATTAAACACCATTTTCACAAAAGGTTTGCAACAAACTTCTTGCAGGACACATCGATACAAATTCAGTCAAGCAACGGAATCCTTTCAATTGCTGCCGTTTACTGCCCTCCTCGCTTCTCAATCTCGGAAGGACAATTTATGGACTTCTACAATTCACTTGGGGATCGATTTATAGCCGCAGGAGACTACAACGCCAAACATACGCACTGGGGATCACGTCTAGTGACTCCCAAAGGAAGACAATTGTACAATGCAATTATAAATGTGAAAAATAAACTGGACTACGTTTCCCCTGGAAGTCCCACATACTGGCCAACAGACTCACGAAAGCTCCCAGACCTTATTGATTTTGCAGTGACAAAAAACATACCTCGCAATCTAATAAGTGCCAAAGCAGTCTCGGACTTATCATCAGACCACTCGCCTGTGCTTCTAACGCTTCTTCAAAGCCCAGAAATAACCGAACACCCCTTCAGTCTGACGACGACAAAAACAAACTGGCTAAAATACAAAAAGTACGTGAGTGCCCACATAGAACTCGCCCCGGATTTTAACATGGAATCGGACATCGACTACACTACGAGCGCCCTGGAAGAAGTACTCGTTGCGGCAGCTAAAATCTCTACTCCTCATAGGAAAGAAGTAGACCGAAACAAACACTTCAAATCTAATCAGCAAATCGAACAGCTCGTGCGAGAAAAGAGGCGCACGCGTCGTGATTGGCAAAACAGCAGATCACCAGCTTCAAAACAACGCCTTAAGGAAGCAACCCGATCACTCGACCAGGCTCTTCACCAACAGGAAGAAAATGCACAGCTGAGGTACATCCAGAATCTCTCGCCAACAAGCACAAAGTACCCCCTGTGGAGGGCCCACCCAAATCTTAGTGCCCCAATTGAAACGACCACCCCGATAAGAAACTCTTCGGGATGCTGGGCTCGCAGCAACGAAGACCGAGCTGAAACATTCGCCACACATCTCCAAAGTGTCTTCCAGCCAAACCCAGCCTCAAATTCATTCCTCCTGCCAGTAATTCAGCCAGAGTCCTCCCCTCAGCCAGCCGCACCTCCATTCCGGCCGAACGAAATCGAAAAAGTCATAAGAGGGCTAAAACCAAAAAAGGCTCCCGGTGGTGACCTATTGACCCCAAAGATGCTGATCGAACTTCCAAAATGCGCTATAGAGGTCGTCTGCAAACTATTTAATGGAATCATTAATCTTGGCTATTTCCCAAAAAAGTGGAAGAAATCCATTATTATAATGATACCGAAGCCTGGAAAAGACCACACAACTCCGTCATCATACAGACCAATAAGCCTTCTATCTTGTTTGTCTAAACCAGGGGTGCCCAAGCTCAGCATAGGACAGAGCAAACTCGAATACCAATGCAAAAAATCACCAATACATTAAAGCTAGAAATTTTTTTTGCAAGTCATGTCGGTATACTGAAAAAAATTATAGGACAATTTTCAATGGAAAAAGTAATACAAAAATATTTATGAAATAAAAATTAAAAACTGTAATAAAGTTATAAATAAAAGAAATTCATAGCTCAGATGTTAACCATTCTTTTTGAGATCTCAACCAAAAGTAATTTTTTGCAGTGAAAAGTTTTCGGTAATAAAAAAACAAAGTGCCTTCGTATTAGTACGAAAAACTGAGACACTATAAAATTGTTGTTGCTTAACTCGAAAAACGAAAAATTGTTTTTGTATTTAGCCCTTGCCTATGCTACGAGCCACACACGTATATAAAATTTCATTTCCCATATAACGAGCAATTCCAACAACAAAGGAGCTCCGAGAGCAATGGGGCTGGGCACCCCTGGTCTAAACTGTTTGAAAAATGCTTGTTAACTCGCATAATACCACATTTGGAAGCTTGCAATATCATCCCGGCACACCAATTTGGCTTCCGAAGAAACCATGGAACCATCGAACAAGTAAACAGATTAACATCCGAAATCCGCTCAGCCCTTGAACAGCGAGAATACTGCAGCGCTATTTTCCTCGACGTATCTCAAGCTTTCGACCGAGTTTGGCTCATCGGACTCATGCACAAAATTAAAACGTATTTGCCAACATACACCCACAAGCTACTGGAATCATACCTCTTCAATAGGGTATTCTCAGTGAGATGCAACGCAGCTACTTCGGGCGACTACACCATCGAAGCTGGAGTTCCACAGGGAAGCGCACTCGGGCCGTGTCTATATGTTTTGTATACTGCGGATATTCCTACGAGCGCACAACTAACAACGTCAACGTTCGCCGATGATACCGCTATTCTTAGTCGCTCCAGATGCCCAACGCAGGCAACAACCCAACTGGCTAATCATCTCACAATAGTGGAAAGGTGGCTGTCCGACTGGCGCATTAAAATAAACGAACAAAAGTGTAAACATATAACGTTTACTCTTAATAGACAAACATGCCCTCCGCTTTTACTAAACGGTATGCAGATCCCTCAAGCTAACGACGTAACGTACCTTGGCGTTCACCTTGATAGACGACTTACCTGGCGTAAGCACATCGAATGCAAAAAGATGCATCTAAAACTGAAAGCCAGCAGCCTCCACTGGATCATAAACTCACGATCGCCACTGTGCCTAGACTACAAGTTACTACTGTACAATTCAGTCCTAAAGCCAATCTGGACGTATGGCTCCCAGCTGTGGGGGAACGCGAGCAGCAGCAACATAGACATCATACAGCGCGCACAATCAAAAATCCTGAGAACTATCACAGGGGCACCTTGGTATGTTCGCAACGAAAACATCCACCGGGATCTGGGCATCCTCGCAGTGAAAGACGAAATCCAGAAGCAAAAAGAGTCATACAAAGAAAAACTGTCTTCGCACCCAAATTTTCTCGCTCGGGGATTGACTCGGGTTTCTAGCGTATCCCGCTTTAGACGCAACGACCTCCCAACCCAGCAATCGATTTTTAGGGCCGTCTAACTCCGTATCAGTCAATATGACTGTTAGTTAAGTTAAAAATATAAGATTTGATACACCTCTTGTTAGTCTCGCAAAGAGAAGATTCAAGAAATAAAAGCAACGTTAAAATAAAAAAAAAAAAAAAAAATATACCCTTGCAGTTAATATCGGATACAAATCAAAAATTTCGGATGTAACGGTATAATAATATCATAAGATAATTTTTAAAAAATATCAAGGTTTTATATACATATACTAAACCATAGTTGGTATTTTTACAAAATAAGATTCCATTTCCGATCGTTCAGTTATATGGCAACTATATGGCAGTCGGCCGTTCCAACCTATGTATATACTGAGTGCAAAGGAAAGAACCGGCTTTAAAACTGATAGACTAGTTTGCGTAAAACCACACAGACGGGCATGCTAATATCAACTCAGGCGGTAATCCTGACAAAGAATATCTATACTATATAGGGTAGGAGACGTCTCCCTCACCACGGTGCACCCTTTTGACCAAAATTATAAAACACTATGCCAGGGTATAAAAATGTGATGCCCATATAATTACTTCAGTGAGGTATTTTATCAAACAAAAACCTTAATAATCGAAATTCGGCCGTAGACTGAATTTTTCTGTTATGACAAGGATTTAGTCTTAAGATTAAGAAAAACTGTTACACATATTTGGATACAGACCTTCCGCTCCCATTTTCCGCTGTTATTTTTAGATGTCCAATGTCGCGACTATAGCTTGACCCAAAAGTGTTCCTTCGCACTCGAGCCCCAGATGAACAGACGAACGATGACTTCCCAACGGTCCTTTCAAACGTCGTGTATTGGCTTTCTTCAAAGTTGTTGCTATTTGCAGCTAATGCGGACCCATTTATGTTCTCGTTCTTGGAAAGGCTATGATGTACTCGTTTATATATACTACCAGCATTCTCCCTTGGCACTTGTAGGTCAAGGTGATGCGGAAACGCGTAGTCTGTTCTTAAACGCCGCCCCACATTCGGTTTTAAATGAACTTTTGGTAGAATATTGAAGCTTAAATTTATTTGACTGCTTTGTGTCTCACTCGCTGCGTCTATATTTTTCTGATGGCTTTCGAGACCCAAGTTCCTGGTTTTACTTTCCATTTGGTTTTTTTTTGTTGGCATTCTGGAACTCAGGGTATCAGAACTAACATCGCATTGGCCTTGCCAAAAAGCTGGACCTGTATCACTCTTTTGTTTATCATTTGAAGGGGGACTTTGATCTGTAAAAGATTCGATAGAATATAATCCATATAACGTTTTAAATATAAACAAGAAAGGCTGGCTATAGTCGAGTTTCCCGACTATATTATATCCGGTACTCATCTCTTCCACTCACAATTTAAATAACCTTTAAAACTTAAACTTAAACGGTATAGATTCTCAGAAACAAATTGTTGTTGCACACTTTGCAGATTGGGCAAAACAACAACAATAAACCTACGGCCATACTATCGATTCAGTAGGGAAGCGGACTAAAAAGTCTATAACTCTAAAATTTATCCGATTTGGCTGCTTTTTTGATTTTTAGGTGTATATTAGCGATTGGAACAGGAAAACATTTTCTAAAGACATTAAAAAACTGGCGCTACAAACAGATTTCTTTGGGGCGGTGTCAAAATTTTGACACAAACTTGATATACGCGAATATTATACGAACCAAGTTCTAAATCTTATAGACTTCATAATCCACGCGTTCAAAATAGAAGCCCGTTTGTATGGAAAAAGGTACACTGACGAGCAAAACTGTAATACGAATTTAACCCTGTAACTTCAAAGGTCTGTGTCTTCTGTTCTTATTTGTGCATTTTGATAAACTTAGTCTTATTTTATTTAATGGTCAATTTACTGTTTTTGGAAAAATTAAAGCCATTTAATACTTAAAGAAAAAATGCCAAAGCATACTTTAAAGAAAGTCAGATGTTAAAGTTTTGCTCTCCAACCTTATACGAGGATATATGCTATGACTAAAACAGACTGGATTGAGAGTCGGTATCCGGCGAGATTTAACTATCATGGCATGTGCCCAAGTTACTCTAAGAGAACCGGCTATAAAAATAAGCTAACCGAAATTTTTAAGAGTACGAGGAGCAGCTACATATCTAAGGGAATGGGGCGAGTAGATCTTCTTGGACCTACGTATATAGAACAAAACAATATAGCCGTAAAAAGATTATCTTAGTAAGAGCTAGAAGTAAGAGTTAATTTAGTAAGAGCTACAGGATAAAACATTTTTTTTTGTTTTTTAAAATTTTTTACTGTTTTTTATACCCTTGCAGAGGGTATAATAATTTTGGTCAAAAGTGTGCAACGCAGTGAAGGAGACATCTACGACCCCATAAAGTATATATATTCTTTATCAAGATCACCTCCTGAGTTGATATGAGCATGTCCGTCTGTCTGTCTGTTTCTACGCGAACTAGTTTCTCAGCTTTAAGCGTATCGACTTGAAACTTTGCACACACCCTTCTTTCCTTTGCACGCAGTACATAAATCGGAACGGCCGGGATCCGGAGACTATGTCCTACAGCTGCCATATTACTGATCGGAAATTCTATAAGTTTAGTGTTTTTAGAGTTCGAGAATTCTGAATTTGTATGAATGATAAATTTGGCAAAATAATACGAAATACCACATTTTATAAGGATCGGTTAACTATATTCTATAGCTGTCATATAACTGAACAATCGATTATGTCCCAACTTTAGCATTTTTAAATTATTTTATTATAACCGTATTTATTACGTTTATTTTTAAACCTGCTAAATTTCATAACGATCGGCAAACTACATCTTATAGCTGCCATATAACTGAACGATCGGAAATGGTTTTTAGTAGAAATACCAACTTTGGTATTTTTGAAGATAGGAGCTTGGGACTTTTTTTAGATTTTGTATTGTAATAAATTGGATTATATATTCATATTCCCATAAGGATCGGCCAACTATATCCAATGTTTGCGATATATATCCGGCTTTAACTTCAAGGGTATATAAACTTCGGTTCCGCCCGAAGTTAGCTTTTCTTTCTTGTTTTTTTTTTTGTGGTGCTTTGATAAATAAAAGAATATTTCTTTACAAAATGTTATTTTGGAGTTTTGATATATTTTTTTTTAGTTTTACCTGACTATTTATGCTTCTGAAAATAATCGAAGTTAAAAAATTTGGAAAATACGAACATGTTGACAAATTCTATAGAAATCTTGAAAACCAACTTGGAAAAAATGTGTTGTGAATATAGGGGCGGCTTAACGGTTAAAATAATTGTGGAAAAAAATGCCTTAAAAATGGTAAAAAAAAAAAATATGGAATCAAAGCAAAGCTACAGGAAATAACACGCTGCCAAATCGGTTTAGAACAAATATGTATCGGAAATAACAGATATACATACATAGTTATGTTTCGATCGACTTTTTAGTATAATAATTATAATTAATTTCATATAATACAAAAAAAACCCGAAGCATCTATCCAGAGCTCGTTAAAAATGGTCAACTACATTTTTTCATACGGTTTGACTGAGGTATGACAAAAAAAAACTTTTTTTTACATTTTCAACTTACTAATCAGTAATTAGCAACAAAACCACGAGAACAACAATGATCTGCCGGAGCTCTGAAGCCGCCGGGCCGCCGATTGCTAGACTAGGAAAAGGGGGTACACATATTTTAATTGGCCCTAAATATTTTAATTAGCTCAAAGAGTACAGTATAATAAGAGACTTATTTTAAGGCATAAACACTATTTAAATAACAGACATGATTTTTTCATACGAAACTGTCTTGAGCGAGCTTATGATGTATGGTGTAATAAATGGCGTATGGAGAGGTTTTTGTAAGGCAGTTCCGTATAGGGTCAGTTGATGAGAGGTTTTTTCCAACAACAACTCCACAAGGAGTGGGACTTAATTTTACAATCTCTGCTTCTATCTTAAAATATACCAAACTTGGTTGCAAAGAAAAGGGCTTCTGCAACGTTTCAAGTCGTGGTAAAAACAGAAAAAGTTGAGTAAAAACGGACAGACAGACAACCATTCTTATATCGACTCAGGAGGTGATCCTGATCAAAAATAAATATGCTTAATAGGGTCGGGAAGATGTCTCCTTCGCTGCGATGCACACTTGTGATCAAAATTTAAAAAATAAAAAATTTTATACCCGGTACACGAAGAGTATAAGGGTACGTTGCTTTCGTATAAATATATTTAACAAAAAGAATCATATTTCATAATGTATATATCTTTTTGATTAGCATCAGCCAAGATGAAACAGCCATTTCCGGCTGTCCGTATGAGCACGTGGACCTGAGACTATAAGAGACAGAGCCAAAGACTCCTACAATCCCCACGCAGTGCAAGCTTGTTTTAAATTGATCACCGCCCCTACAAATTGCAAAATTTCTTTAGCGCCAATACAGGAAAATTTTTGATGCCAAACTATTTCTATAGTTGTTTATTTTTGAAAAAAAAAATGTCACCAAAATCTTCCGATTTTTAGAGTAGTTAGATATTTCTCGGGAACGCGTTGGAAACATTTTACACGAATGAGTAAGCTTTCGTCAAGATGCATGCCGCGATTGCTAACAATGGAAAATAAACGCAACCGCTTGCACATTGCGAAGGAGAGTTTGGCATTGCTTAATGCAAACAAAAACGAATTTTTTCGTCGTTTTGTGACTGTTGACGAAACCTGAATTCGTCACCATACACCAGAGAGTAAAGAACAGTCAAAGCAATGGATTTCAACTGGAGAAACGGCACCGAAAAAGGCAAGGATCGGATTGTCGGCCAACAAGGTGATGGCAACGATTTTCTGGGATGCGCGAAATTGTGTCAATTTCACTACGAAATTCTACCCCATCCATCCTATTCTCCAGATTTTTCACCTTGTGACTGTTATTTATTTCCAAACATAAAAAAATAGCTTGGGGGTAAGAAATTTCAGTCAAGCGCCAACAAGTGAAACAAGCGCCTATTTTGAGGACCTGGAAACATCCTATTTTATGGAAGATATTGGGAAACTGGAGGATCGGTGGTCCAAGTGTTGTTGAGATTATGTTGAGAAAAAAAAGAGCCACATATAAAAAAAACGTATTTCCTTTACAGGGTCGACTTTTTATCCGCCTACCCTCGTATTCACATAATATACCAATTCCCATACAAAGGTTTCAATATTTTAAACGTGTGGATCTCAAAAAATAAAAAATATAGACTTATCCGATTTCCGCGCAGATCAAGTTTGTGTCAAAAAAAACGGAAATCTTGTTGTAGCGCTAGTTCATTAATATTTTCGGGAAATGTTTTAATGTCAAACTGTTCCAACGGTTATCCTACAAATCAAAATTCAGACAAATGGGATGATTAGTAAAGAAGTTATAGACTTTTTAGTCTGCTTTCCTACTGAATCGGTAGCAGGGTCGTTGGGGGGGACTTCGCTTGTTTTCATTCCTTTCCTTTTCTTTCCAGAGAATCCATACCGTTAAAGCTTAAACTTTAAAGGTTAGGTAAACTGTAGGTGGAAGAGATGAGTACCGGGTACAATATATTCGGGAAACTCTACTAAAGACGTAATTTTTTGTTTTTTTCCAAGTGGAAAAGTATGTAACGAAATTGTTTGTGCCGGGTGCCGGCACTTGTTTTATGTGCAATTTGAAACTTTTTTCAGAGCATACATTTTTTGCCAATACGGACGTATTATTTCTTACCAATTCCAGAGTTTTTGAACGCGGGGACATTCCTTCCAGATCTATGAATCTGATTCCGCGAGCACATTAAACTACTTTGCGCTGGCAATGGTGGTGCTACATTTATTATATCACGTTTTGAAGCTTTACTTTGGTCGTTCTGAGTTTCAGAAAAAGTATTTTCAAGGCAAATTTTGCCTTCTTTCTTTGCATCCGTTACGTCTACCTCTAAGTCTTTGGAGTTTTTTACATCATATTGGAAATTTTCCCTAACACTAATGTCTGCTTCAGATCTTAGGTCGAACATGGAGTTGCTATTAATATTAAGGCATTCTGTAATACTGATGATTGAGGAAAAAAAAATATAAAATTATTATTTTAAAATTATTTTATATGACAATGAACCTACATCGATTCCACGGCCAGGTTTGGGTCACTAGATCTCCTTGAAATAGTGCTTTGGCCCAGCTCATTCATTGTTAGATTTTCAGAAGATCTCGCTTTTACCATGAAACCTAAATTTAAAAAAATGCTAAAAATGAAACAACTGGATTTTTTTTTCTACTGACCCTGATGAGCGTTTGGTCGTTCATTACTAAGTAGCGGCAGATCAATTCCGTTTTTGTTACCTAAGCTACCAAGGTATAGGTCGGACCAAAAATGTAAAAATCTTACACTGTGTGCAGGCCAAAGAACCTGAGAATATATATCAGCTATTTGATTTGGACTGCAAGAACATATATTTTGTTAATATTAACTTAATTACCTTTTCAGTCTCATGCTTATACAAAGGATTTCTGTACATAGTGTCCGCTAAAAATGGCCATACCGAAAATGTTCGGTCAAATATGGAATTATCAAGGCGTTCTTTAAGCGAGTTGCAAAGAAAAGTTCCGAAAAGACAGGAAAGCGAATGTTGCGCCATTTTAATCTGAAATTAAGATGCTATATTGAATTGGTTTTGTCAACGCTTGCTGTAACTTACCAGGTAGCCTCCGTTGAACTCAAAACAACATGGATATTGCCGCTGTATTTGGTGAACCAGATCAAGCCACTGCAAAAAAACTGGACACCTTTCATTCACTTCGTCAGAATAGGGGCCATTACCAGAGCGATCAGCGAATTTGTGACCAAAATTCAACCACTCACGTTCTACCAGAACGCGAAATCCCTGCACGAAATTAATAATTATAAATTAACTGATAGTTATATAAATTCTCAATTAAAACAAGAAAGGAACGCTAACTTCGGGGGGAGCCGAAGTTGATATACCCTTGCAGTTAAAACCGGATATATATCGCAACCATCGGATATAGTTGGAAGATCCTTATGCACACTTTTAACCAAAATTATAATACGCTCTGCAAGGGTAAAAAAAAGTCCCATGCTTATATCTTCGATAATACCAAAGTTGGTATTTTGACCATATACCAAAGACTTTTTCCGATCGTTCAATTATATGGCAGCTATAAGATATAGTCTACCGATCGTTATGAAACTTGGTAGGTCGGATTATCTGACCAAAAATAGAATCTGCATGATCTCAATCTCAGCTTTCTATCTTCAAAAACACGAAAGTTGGGTCATTTCCGATCGTTCAGTTATATGGCAGCTATAGGATATAGTCGGCCGATCCTCAAAAATGGCATTCGTACAAAATCCGAATTTGTTAACTCTAAAAACACCGGAGTTATAAAATTTCCGATCAATCAGTTTATGGCAGCTATAGGATATAGTCGGCCGATCCGGGCCTACGTTTTTTCTTCTCAGTGAATGCTCTGCTCTCATTGTTTTTACCTGCTACGCATACACTCATACGCATACACGCATGCGTTTTGCCCCCCACTGATCTACACCTACAAATTAAAATTCAACCAAATCGGAAAATTAGCAGAGTTAAAATTTTTGTATTCTGCTTCTCTACTGAATGGCTTTGGTTGTTTTTTCCAAAGTATGCAACAAAATTTTGTTGATGAGAATCCATAACTTAAATTTTGAAAGTATAAATGTGTACCGGGTATAATATAGTCGGAAAACTCGACTAAAGTCCTTTCCTGTCAAATGTGTAATTTTTTAAACCACAAAACATTTTTTTATCACCAAAATTTATATCAGATATAAGCATGGCATGCAGTTTCGTCACAGGTATTTAAAGGTTTTTTTTATATATTATAATATACAAGAGTATATAGCTTTTAGTACAAATCGAAAATAGATTAGCTTTCTTCTTCTAAAAATAGTTTCATTTAACACGCAGGAAAGGTTATTTCTTAACTACACTGAAAAGTTTAAATTTAATTTCATAAAATAAGAACCAAATAATTTTTTCATACTTCAACAGTTCTGTAGTAAGGGTCTAAACAGAGCTGAGCTGTTGCCACAATTTGCGGAGTACGGTCCCAGCCATCCGAACAGTGCACTAGTACAGGACGCCCGTTCTTTTCTATGGTGTGTACAACCGTCATTGCGGCTCCCAGTAAACCTGACAGGTGTTGCATCCACATGGTTTTTTCCAGTTGCCCAAACCAACTGTGTAAAAAAGTAGACGTTAAATAACTCTTAAGGTATCAAAAAAAAAGTCATACTCACTTTGGATCGTCTGGCGATGAGGCACAGAGCTGGCGGACAGCATGAAAACTTTTACGAATAGCGTGAATGTTACCTAAATTCATGAATTCAATTTCGGCGCAGGGATAGTACTCAATGCATTCACAACCTCCACCGCGGGCCCGATTTGTAACTGCTGAAGTATAGCTCCTGGCATCTACTATTAAAATTTTCTGAAAAAAAAATTGTTGATTACGATTTCTAAGATAAAACCTATTTTTACAAAGTGTTTAAGCATTAAACAAAAAAGGAAAGCTAACTTCGGGCGGAGCCGAAGTTGATATACCCTTGCAGTTAAAACCGGAAACATCGGATATAGTTGGTATTTCCGTTGCTAGTTGGTTGGTATATAATTATAACCAAAGTTGGTATTTTTACCAAATGCCATTTCCGATCGTTCAGTTATATGGAAGCCAGGCCCGTCGAGAGGGAATTTCGGGCCCGGGGGGTACAACTCACGGGCCCCTCATATAAGAAATATTTTTGAAAATAACGAAAATTATGTTGAATTTTGTTAAAGTATAGTCTATAATTTGATAATTTATCACTGATCATTTCTCAGGCTCCACATCTTAGCGATTTCTTTAAAATATCGCGGATCATTTTTTTTGTACACAGTTTAAGTTTTCGACAAAAATCCGGGCCCCTCTCACCGGGAGATAACGGTCCAGTTTTTGCTATTATAATAACTGGATTATTAAATAAATTTATTTTTTAATCCGACTATACATACTATTTTTATACTTTAAATCCGTCAGACGCTACCAATTATCTTTTGTTTTAATATACATACAGATATTTTCTAAAAACATACCCGAATTTCGTCTAACGTAAGTTCCTCGTGCGAAGAATCCTCTAATGAAGGTGAACTTTTTCCAGATGAAGAAGATTGACCGTTTAAGTCTCTTGCATCTGTTGGTTGATGAGCGCTTGCGTGGGCAAATGTCGATCGTCTTGCGTGCTCCCCCCTGTCAAAGGCACAGGCATCGGTCAGCGCCTTGAGAAGCTGCTCATCTTTGGTATTTCGCCAACCAAGCCAACCCACCTCCGGCTGGCTGCAGCGAGCTAAAATTGCGCCTGACTTTTGGTGGCGCCAGACAACCGCTGGCAGTCTGCGCGATCCACGAAAGTTAGCTACGTTGTGGAGCATTTCATCGGTGATGCAAAAAGGTACGAGCAGTCTGGGTGGGTACGAGGGGCACAGTTTAAAATCAGCGTTGGCCGTGGAGACTCGCCAAGATCCTTTGAGGTCGAATCCCAAACGGGCGACTTCGTTTTTAAAGTTGTTATCATAACTAATGTCTCGTTGTAGCCGACTGCTAGCCGAGGGTACAGCCTCAACATTTAAAAGAGTCTGTACACCTGCCGTGTTTGTAAGTTGGGCAGAACGGTCTTTGCCCTTGTAGCCGTTTGTACTTGGATTATCATTACTATTTCCGAATATGTCGCTGGACCAGGAGTAAAAACCAAATGCGAAAAGAGTTTCCAATGTTTGGGGAACGCCTATAAGCAAGTGTATTCGTCGTTGCCAATCCACACATTGTTCCGTGGTCTGGAAAGAGCACCGCACAGTGCTGGCGTCCTTGCAATTGACAATCAACTGAAACGGGTCTCGTACTTGCACGGATTCTATAAGGCCCAGGGGTACGTATGTCTCAAAGGCAGTTGACTTCTTTGAGAGGAATATGCGGTAATTTGATAGGGCCAGGATTCCATCGTCCGTTCGACCTAGGTACTTAATAGACTCACCAGGCACTTGTTGAACAATTAGGAGAAATTATTAGAAATGTTTACACGAGCATGTTAGACATACATGAAAAATAAATCCGACCAATACTCACATTCCTGAAAGGGCACAAGTAACTGGGAGTCTTCCTTTTCCATCTGTGACTTCGGGTACGATTCAGCGGCACGGATAAAGCAAATCGATGGAGGCGGTGATCCATCTGACATTTTTTAATTCGCTATAAAAGACTATATAGTGAATTTTGTCAAAAGCAAATGAGTTTTGATTTTATGGAATTCCGGTGATGACCCAATATCAAAAGTCGTGCATGAGTGCGTAAGAATCTAGTTATATAAATGAGTTTCATAAATAAAGGATGATACATTGGTGTTAACGTAGTTTTTCTGTATGTTGTATAGAACGACAATTTACTGTTGAGTGTCGTGAAAATTGTATGAAACATTGACTTGTGAATGAATGCACTCAAACAGCCAATATGTTCTGAATAAATTAAAGTCAATTTTGAGCGTGTATTAGCAATATAGATAATGCGTGTGGACGTATTTATGATAAATATTCAGCCTTCAGCTGCAGTGGCAGAATGTGCGCAATATGTGACCCTACTTGAGTATTTACATACGTATAGATATATTATAAGCTTTTATTTCAATCCAAGCTTTTTTTCAAATCATACTTCGTCAATTTCGGTGGGCCATTTATGCCTCTAGTAAAAACCACTTATGTTACCACAAACAAAGTATTAAAGTATTTACACGTTTAGTTTTGTGCACTTATTCTAATTTTTTAATATGCGTGAGAACACGAATGCCTAATCAAGAGCTTTGTTGCATGTAATATTTTCGTTTTCCGGAATTAAAATTAGCTAAGAGTTCAACATTCTCAAATTCTTTCTCCACCATTTAATAAGAAACGACAAATATTATAAACAAAGATTGACAAATATTTTTTCACATACATATATATGTATAGGTAATCAGATACTTTTGGTTACGCTGTGATCGTTATTGTTATCGAGTGTCAGTGTTAAAGTCTAGTACTGAGATCGAAAAACATGTTTGACGAGTCAAAACGTTTATTCTTACCAGTGTGAACGAGTTTTTTTAAGTTACTCCCTACGGTCCCTCCTAAAATTAATTTGAATTTTAAAGCCTAGTACTGAGTTGACAAAAATCCGCTGTTGAAAATCCGATAACGATATCGCACTTTATTCAGCTACCGAGCTAGTGTGACCAAAAAAATTAACAAATAAGGTAATACTGAACAGCTGTTGTTTGTAAACAAAAAACAAATAAGCCAAAATGAATTCAAAACGATTGGATGTTGGTGTTTTGTTTATGTATTTCGCCGCTAAGGAGCTGATTAAGAAAAAGAAAACTGGGTCAAAATCAAAATCAATCACAAATCATTTCAATGCCATTTTATGGCATTAATATGCCCCTTGTGGTTAAAATCCCATACTATGGGCTTCGCCTTGACCGCACTATTTAATTTCAATTTATCCTCGCGCGCCGAAAATTTTTCGGGGCGACTATTTTATCCTTTCATCAATTTTCCCTCCATGTTTCCTATCAAAATAAATAAAATTAATTCTTTCAACACCCCAAAATCAGCTGTTTTTTTTTGATCCGGCAACGCCATTCAATTCGATAGCTAAAATTTTCGTCAACAGAGTTCCGGAAAAATCTAGGAGACGAAAATATCTTCTTCTTCCTTTTTTTACACCGTTTTTTTTATATGGAGTTTGACAGCTGTCACTCGTGCGACAGCGGATTTTCGTCAACTCAGTACTAGGCTTGAACATTGACAATGTAAAAAAAATATGATTTAAGAAGTCCTTTGTGGATTTTTAACCCATTTGGGTGTAAAAATATTAATGAAATTAAATGATTTAAGATTAAATTGACGCAATTGATACCATGAAATTGGTATCAAGATATGGTTTGTCCCACAAATCTAAAATTACAAGAAGAACATCTACAAATTTAATTAAATCTATAATGTTTAGCGTATCGCCTTCAACAATTTGACTTTGTCAAGCATTTACATTGATTTATTACATGATTACAACAAAAACAGCCCTGTCAAACTGGATGAAAGATTAAAATTTTTTATGTTTTCGCTAGGGACTTGTAAAACGTTCTTTGGTGCGTTAATTATTTTTCGATCTGAGAAAGGGGTGGCGGAAAGGCCCTGTCAGAAACGGTTTTTCAGGTATTTGTACCAATATTTGAGTATTAGACTTAAACTGAGTATTAGGCTTATATATATATATATATATTTATGTGTATGGTACATATGTATATATATGTACGTACCTTACGACAGGAAAAAATAGTTCAATTATCCATAAAAAACGTTTTAGCTCATTTATCTCATTCAAAAAACTCATTCAATCTTTATATTTTATTAATTATGCGCTCTTGAAATCTTGTCTTGATATTCGAATTGAAGTCAATTTGACTGTAAGACAAAATTGTCTGTAAACGTAATTTCAAAAAAAAAAAAATTGATTTTCCTTTTTGTCGGATTTTTGCTGAATAAAATTACTTTACAGAACTGAGTTAACCACGAGTAACCACCATAATCTAGTTGGAAAAAATATTTTGGAATACCAAACAGTAACAGGTTTTCGATAGGCAAAACTTTGCTACGATATAAATTTATCATTTTTATAAAAAGAGTATCGATATATTATATTTTGATATATTATCAACAACCCTAAAAATTTTCTGAGTTTGTGTTCTGGAATACATTTGCCCCGCACATTCCATACAAGCTAATGCGTAACTAAGTTCACTTTATTTTCTGGGATTTTCCACCGGTGAATGCAACTTGGTTTAGCCCTACCCCACGTCTTAAAATGATCGAGGCGAGAATCCAAAAGCTTGGACCCTGTGTGGCCCTGGTTGCGGTAAGTCGACGTGTTCCGCTTTTACGATTTTCGTCGAAGATAAATCAGCAGGCGCCATGAGCGGCATGCGTCGGTCAAAATGAAAAGTTTGCGTATAAGACCTTATTTTCTGATGTTACGGCTGCCGGGAACTGTCCATTGCTTGGATTTGTGATAGTCTCAACTACTAAGCCGCTGCCTCCTCTTTGTTCTATCTTAGATTCTACAACTCCTTCAGCAGCCATCAAGAATAGATGCGGGGGCCGTGGCCATGACCAGTGACAACATCGACATGACACTAGGTAAGACTGATACTGTTTCGCCCATATCCACCGATAACGTGGAAGACATGGAGTTCATAAAATCAATTAATTATTGACGTGTCACAAATCTGGGGCAATACTATTCGACTTTGCTATGCCAACGTGGTATATTTACTATATGTATATATTTGGGACGCACTTGATTTTTGAAAGGGATATATTGATATTTTCTGTATACACACAAAAAAAATTGAGCCTTAAAATTTTGTTCGACGTTGATGACAAGGAATTACCCTTTATAATAAACCCTATACAAAGAGTCAAATCGTTTTACCAAGATATCATAGGATTATATGAAAAATATACAGTGATGGGGATTATAATTGCAGTGTGTGCACCGCAGTAAAAAAGGTTAAATTTTGACCCTTTAAAGTATAAAATTTATATTTTTTGATCGGACTAACCTTCATATAAGCACTACCGTGTGCTTCATATAAGCACTACCGTTTGTCCGTCTGTTTCTACCCAAACTAGTCTCTCAAGTTTAAAACTAAAACTAAAAACTATTTTTTTCCTGTGACTTTGTTGTTTTTTGAGTTAGAGAGAGTTTGGATTTTACATGAGAGCTATTTTTAGCAAAATAATACGACATAAAAATAATTCGAAATTTCATAAGGATCGGCCGACTAAATCCTATAGCTGCCATATAACTGAACGATCAAAAAATGGTTTTTGGTAGAAATACCAACTTTGGTATTTTTGAGGATAGAAGCCTGGGGGCCTTTTTTAAATTTTTTATTTTAATAAATGATATTCTCATAAGGATCTGCCTTCTATCTATCTGGTTTTAACTGCAATGGTATATCAACTTCGGCTCCGCCCGAAGTTAGCTTTCCTTTCTTGTTTTTATTCATATTTGTTTCGGCTACCGTCAAAATAAAACGGACATTTTGTAACATTAGGTAGTAAATAAATTGTACAATTGTGTTTTATTTTATTAAATGCTTTTGTTTGCTATCAGTTATATTAATCATATGCAAGTTTTTAAAACTTCAAATTCACTAGTTTTTAATTTTTTATATGGACTAATACTAATAATACGCTTAATTATTCTAATATTCAAAACCAGCTGATAACGGATAGCTGCTAGAAAAATTGTATGCCATGTGACGCAAGTTTTCCAATTTGGTTTTTTTTTTTTTACTGGCTGCTTATTTTATTTCTATAAACTTTTTCTATTGTTTATATTTTCCTCTGAGCCGGTTTTCCAAAATTTTACTATACATATGAATGTACATACACACATATGTATATATGCAAACTACAGAGGGTTAAATAAACTTACACGATAGATTTCGCATTTTTATATGATGTGGTCACCTTTTAATATGATTGCAAATTTTTGTTGTCATTTTTATACCCTTGCAGAGGGTATTATAATTTTGTCCAAAAGTGTGCACCGCAGTGAAGGACCCTATAAAGTACATATATTCTTGATCAGGATCACCTCCTGAGTTGATATGAGCATGTCCGTCTGTCTGTCTGTCCGTCTGCCTTTTTCTACGCGAACTAGTCTCTCAGCTATCGTCTTGAAACTTTGCACACACCCTTCTTTCCTTTGCACGCAGTATATAAGTCGGAACGGCCCGGATCGGCCAACTATATCCTATAGCTGCCATATAACTGATTGATCGGAAATGGTATAACTTTTTAGAGTTAGAGAGTTTTTTTAGAGTTAGAGAGTTAAAATTTTACATGAGAGCTATTTTTGGCAAAAGAATTCGACGTGCCAAATTTTGTAAGAATCGGCGGACTATATCTTATAGCTGCCATATAACTGAACGATCGGAAATGGTTTTTGGTAGAAATACCAACTTTGGTATGTTTGAAGAGTTTGGGACTTTTTTTAGATTTTGTATTGTAATAAATTGGAATATATATTCATATTCCCATAAGGATCGGCCAACTATATCCAATGTTTGCGATTTATATCCGGTTTTAACTGCAAGGGTATATAAACTTCGGCTCCGCCCGAAGTTAGCTTTCCTTTCTTGTTTTTAATTTTCTTTCTTTAATACTACAATTAAAGATACAGCGTAAGGATAATTAAAAAAAGTCCTTTTAAGTCCTTAGGAGGATTTGAACATTCAAAAATTGTGCAGAGAGCAGCTACTCTACGCAATACGCTACCATCCTGACTCGAGCGGTATCGATCAAAAGTACTATTTGCTCTACTACTATATCGGCGCATTGTAAACAGAAACGAGAAGAAATTGACATTTGGAAGCCACAACATTTTACGCCGTTTTTACATTTTTTTGATAAATACATGTAAAGAGTTCTAAAAATAGAATCGTATGCATGTGCATTCACCAACAAGCTCGACGAAAAAAGTTTACCGTTTAGGGCCTGATGTCCCATCTATGTATTGTATAATCTTTGCTATAAGGGATAGAGCTAATGGTTCTACGTTCAATTTTGTTTAAAAATATTGCCAAAATTTTTCCCGGCCCCACAAATGGAAAAATTGGTGTAGCGCCAGCACAGGAAAGTTTTTTCAAAAACACTTGATGCGAAACTATTTATATAGTTAATATATACTTGAAAAACAAATTTCATTTGATTTATCAGCCGATTTTTAGAGGAGATATACCCAAATGTATATAATTTCCCATACAAAGGTCTACTCGCACACTCAAAGGCTTGGGACCCCCCCACAACCGAATCGCATCGCGTGTGCTGTGGTATATTTGGAGGCGAATTAATTAATTTAATTTCCATTCCAAGCATAGCTCAGCGCAGCTTCTTCCTTTTCTTTTGTTTTTTACTTTTGTGTGCAATAGAGGTCTTATCTTTATTTCTGCAATTTTCCTTCGCTCTCTCCAAAGCTTCCGCTTCGGCTCCTATTTAGCACAGTGGTTCAAGGTATAGCGCTTTTTAACTTACATATACAAAGATGGAAAAAATAATAGAAACGAATATTACTATTTCACTTTAAGGCTTTTTTTAAGTTTTACCTTTAGGAATATTTATGAAACCCCTTGGGTTGGTAACATTGATAACGGCTCTTAGTCACCATCTCTTTTTTGAACGCTTTTCGTTTGCAATTTTTGTTGTTCATGGAAATTAGTCAGAAGACTTCGTGTTTGGTTTGGAAAAAATAATAGAAATACGGTCGTATTTGGTCAAAATCAGTGGCTAATTTTCGTTTAAAATAAAATAAAAGGTATTGTTTTGAATATTTTTATTACAGGGAGCGTTATAGCAATTTTGTTTACTATTTATCATTTAATTTTGTTAAAACCTTCAAAATTGGTCGTGGAGCACACTGCATAGTGTAGTAGTAGTAGAGAAGAATCTAATCCTTAAATTAAAAACAGAAGGCCGATCCATGGAAAAAATTTCCAAACTATTAGAATGCTCAAAAGAAAGTGTTTTCTGCTATCCACTATCATGCTAGACAGGAGAAACGTGGAAGAAAGCGAGCCACTTCTACAAAATTTAACACGAACCTTATAAGGAAGTCGAAAAAGGAGTCATTTCTTTCTTCGAAGGATCTTAAAAACTACATACGCGCATCCGTAACGAGTCGCACCATTTGCAACAGACTGATTGAGCACGGTTTGAAAGCGCATTCAGCAAGAGAGTTCCTTTTATGAGCAAGAAGCAAATAGAAAGACGAATCTATTTTGCCTAAAACCACGAGACCCGCAAGAACTGGAAAAATGTTCTTTGATTTGTTTGGATCAGATGGTAGACCCCATGTTAGATGCCCAAAAAACACAGTACTCGATCCCAAATACACCGAAAAGACTATTAAGAACGAAGGTGTTAATATTATGCTATGGGGATCTTTCTCTGCGTCAGGTCCACTTTATTGGATACAAGGCAATATATGTGCTATATACTATGTTAACATAGTTACGTTATGGACGTTATTTTACCATATGCCGAAGAGAAAATGCCTTTGAAGTGGGAATTTATGCAGGATAACGATCCCAAACACACATCGAAGCTTTTGAAAAAGTGCCTCCAGGACAATAAAAGCGACGTTATGGACTGGCCAGCTCAGTCACCCGATTTAAACCCTATTGAGCATTTGTGGGGCATTCTAAAAAAAAAGTTGAAGTGGTTTTAACCAAAAAATAAGGAGCATTTTCGGGAGAAAGACCAGGAAGAGTGGTACTCCATTAAGCCAACAATATACTCCAATCTGGTGGAGTCCATGCCTCGTAGGTGTGCTGCAGTGTTAAAAAACCATGGTAACGCAAACGCATTAAAACTAAAAACATTTCATGGTAAATTTTACTAAACGAATTAATTTGAATAAAAATTACGTTTCTATTTTTATATTCAGGTCAAAAACTTAAAATTTCGCTTACGTATAATTTTTTAGCTAAATTAATGAAGTTAAATGCATTTTTGCTTTCTAATATGTAAGATAGATGTACATATATCAAAGGAAAATCAAAAATTTCCACTCATTACGTTCCATATTAAAAATGCGTATTTAAACCCAAAGTAAAAATTCGTTTCTATTATTTTTTCTATCACTGTATTTTTTTATACTGTTAATTATTAAAATGGAATTCAACTCGTCTGTTTAATGAAGTCTTGTAACAAGACAATCTCTGTTCCGGGTTCACTGCCTCAGTTTCGGATGCCATTTGTTGGTCTGGTTTACGTGATAATTGTCGTGCCGTCCAAGAAGAAATGAGGTCGTTCATAAGACAGACTAAAAATGGATTTAAAGAGTTGATTACTGGTTTTCGTAAAATCAATGATTAGCTTAGTGCGTTTGACACTCAGTTTAGCGGCCTTCAGCTTCTAAATGAGTCCCTTAAGCGTAAGAAAGCCGACATTAACGCACCCGCTCATATCTCTGGCCACCCCAAGGGACAGAACTGAGAACAATTCGCCGTTCTAATTTTTCAGTGCAAATGAGGAACTATCCGATGTGTCCTCCGAGGCATCCCTTCAAGTGATACCACAGGTCCTAGTGAATGCCCGTTAACAGGTGATTAAACCCTTACGTTAAC